ATGTGCTAGTGTGTTTGTAAGAAATGATTTTCGCTGCTTCTGTCAGTTTTATGAGAGTTTTGGTCAATTTTTTAGGGTATTACTCTTGGAAATTGTTACTTGGGTGTTACTGTATTTACCATAAATCGTGATAGTACGTACATCTTGTATGTACTATCTTCTTGTATTCGATTAACTTTTGTAGCTCCAACACCATTTATTAAAAATTTTGCACGTTTTCTTTCAATCTCAGTTTTTGCATACATTTCTCAGATACCTAGTTTAACTGTGAACCAAAATCCACCAATATTCTACATTCGACAAATTTAGATAACTTTTGCATTATGATTCATATTTTGATTTTTAGCACTTTTCCAAAAAATTTTTTGAAAAAAGTGCTTATTAGTTTCACTCTGTCCGTCCGTCCGTCCGTCCGTCCGTCCGTCTGTCCGTGTGTCTGTTTACAAAACTTCTACAACTTTGAAGATAGAAAGCTGAAATTTAATACGTACATAGATCTTCACTAGAAACTTATTTCCGTAGAACAAAATTTTTACCTATCTCCCTCCCTCTAGAAGTTATACCCCCCCAAAACCCTAAAAATGGCCTTTTTTAAATATTTGTTGCAATGAAACCATAAGCATTTTTGAAATTTTGCAAACGCAGAAAGGCAGTGGCTTGCTTCCCCTTGCGCGGTATACTATAGTTCAACTTAAGAAAAACAAAATGGCCGCTCAAATTTACCGTTATTTAAAGTCTTTTTTTTCCAAATTTTTGATGTCGTTTTTCTTCTAGACCCCAGCCTGTAGAAGCTTGAAATTTTAGGAGCTTTTAGATATTAATAAATAGTTCATTTTGTTAGAAGAAAATTTTTTTCCATCTCCACCCCCTCTCAAGTTATCACCTCTTGAAATTCGTAAAATTTGAATTTTTGACACCTTATATTTCCGAAACCGCAAGCTTTTCCAAATTTTTATGAACGCAAGAAGCTAACGGTAAATTCCATGAAATTAAAAAATATAATTATTTTTCTTAACTCACACAATTAACCCTTAAAATCGAGCATTATGTTAACCCCTTTTTATATTAATTTTTGCTTTATTTCAAAGACTGCATATATGCGTCATCCTTAATATATGCAATCCTAGAAATAGTTTTGTATATGAATGAAAACAATTTTAATAGTGTGATAGCTATACATAGACTGTATTTAAAAGCAGAATTTTCACTTGTTGAAGGGAAAAGTGCTACAATACAAACCATTGGTTTGACCCAACTTTATTTACTTTTTATTATTGAAAAATAGAATCACGTTTTCCTGTTTTATTCTCATGCAAAAAATAATTGTATCTTCCCACACACTATTTATAAGTTGATTGTGAACTGAGATTTTGCAATAAATAATTTCGTTTCAATGTTGAGTTGGCTGACCTAATGGTTTGATTTCAAGTACTGTTTCACTGCTATTACTACATGTTGATTATAAATTTTTGTTGACGCATGTTGCAATTTTGGCTGTTCAATAATCTTTTGTAAACATAAATACAAAATTATTCACTTTTTTTGAATATATTTAATAAGTCCCTTTCCATTTCCTACTAAACATATCTTTAAATATTAAAATTTTTTACTTTTTGAAAACCGATCATTATTATGAATTATATAAACCATGGAACTCAGGCCATTCTTTGTAATTTTTATTAAACAATGGAGCCGTCATTTGTTGTAGTTTTATTTGCTGTTCAATTTTACTATTTGATGGTTCTACTCCTTAGCTTTTAACGTATTTTGTAATTTTGCTAATATATTTGCCATATTTTTCTAGTTTTCAATTAAAGATTGCACAGCGTTATTAAGTTGACTTTTGTTCTTGCCTTGATTGTTCAAAATCTTGTATTTGCTACATTTAATTTTCTAAATATTATTTTTATGTTAAAATATTTTGTTTCAACTATTTCTCTTTCTACCTCACCTACCGCTCTATCAGAATCAGCTTGTGACTCCATTGTTAAATCTCTTCAAACGGTAAATTTTGTTGTTTTAATTTTTTAAATATTCAGTTATTTCTTTCAATTTCATTTTATTAAAATACTTTTCAATTCTTGTAATTCGTACCTTTATTGAACTACGTAATTTAAGTGCTTCCATTATTTTCAAATATATTTACTACAAAGCATACGTATAGGAATTTAATAAGATAATAATAATTTTTTACGTTGTTTTAATGTAAGTATACATATACTGTCCAATAATTTGTATTGTATGTATGGGTCTTGTTTATATATTCAAGTGTATCCATGCATGAAATGTATACATCTATACACTTGAATATGTAAACAACTAAAACGTCACTTAACATGAATTCAAGTAAATAAGCGGGTGAAGGGAATACACATAATGTGCAGAAAATGGCGAAAAAAAACTCTTCTTAGGGAAAGGCTCTAATAGAAGTTAAATTATAAAGAAAAAGGAAATGATAACACGTATACTGTTTGTTTTGTATATTTGCTATACTATTGGCACTAAATAAAAAAATCATAAAAACGCAAATGTATTTAAAAAAAACTAATAATAACCATTTTATGAATGAAATGCAATCGCTTCGGCTCCAAAACAGGCTCATTGGGCTTGTAAGAACATTAAAATAACATAACAAAAGTTTTTTGTTTTTTCTTTTTATAAAATCTTTAAGCATCAAGAGAAACTTCTTTTTCGTATATTCGCGCCGACAATTTTTAAAAACATCTGTTTTTGTTTTTCAAAATTAAAAACCATTTAAATTAAATTAAAAATTTAAATATTATATTCTTCAAATGATTGAAATTTAAATTAAAACTTAGAATAAATATTTGGATTAATTTGCTTTAAGGGAAAGTCGATACTTCACTTAAAAGGTTTCTAAAATTTGTAATATTTTCTCATGTTTCTATACTTTTACTAAAAATGTAAACATTGAAAAGTTTTTCTAGTATTTATCTTCGAAAGTATTTTAACAGAAAGTGCCTCTTCTCAATCCTTATTGTGATTATCAATAATCACGTTTAAATGTACAACATGTATGTAAACGCAGTGAGTCTATATAGAACGCATAAAAACTCAACTTCACATAAACATGAGGACTTTTTTTACGGATTGTCCTTTATATGCCCACTTAAATTATCTTCATTTTAAAGTATACTAAAAAAAATTATAAATTATGTTATGAGAACAAAAACAAAAACTTGTTAATTTGCAGGGTGATATGAAGCATATGTCAGCATGGATTCATATGTAATTTCACATTTTCGATGTTCCAATTCCGTTAGTTAATTCTACATAGTTCAAAGTCATAGTCTATACAGAACATATTTTTAATAAAATTGTAATAGCTGTTCCATAGTTTTTATAAGCACTCTGTTAGCTTGTGAACTGTGATCATACAATATTACATAATACTTACTTGTACAATATAATACTTACTTATACAATATTACATAATAAATCTTTTATAAGATTTAATTGTTTTTCAGACCGAAGAAGAAGGTAAAAAACCTTACTACTTTTAACTGTGTTAATCATACAAAGTTTTGGACGCGCATAAAGTTGTGTGGAATTGCGTTATGTTCAAAGTTTAACAATAATTTTCTTATTAATAAATAATTATGTAGTAGACCTATTAACTGTCTTTGACAATCCCACTAATCCAAAACGAAATAAATTAATATAAAATTATAATAATTATATTAAACAAATCCGGCTTGGTTATGCAGAAAATAAGAAAATTATGATGGTACAAAGCAATTAGATAAACATATCTAAATTTTTTTAATATTTGAATTTTCGGAAAAATCAGTTTGTAAGTGTGATATTTAAAACCTTCATGTTATTATGTTCTTAGTTTGAAAGACAATTACTTTTTGCACCTCTTACATACATATTTAAACATGTATACTTATGTGTATTTAAAAATAATTTTGTACTTATATGTTTTGTACTTATATATAAACTTATACATACATAACCTAACAGTTGTGATATTAAAACAACAAAAATCAAGTGTTGAACAGAGTCGCTTTAAATTATTTTAATAATTATTACGTATCGTATATTGGTTCAGCAGATAGATAACATTTTTTAAAATTTTGACGAAAAAATATTTTTCAATTTTTTACAACTTAAAATTTCTTTTTTTCTTTTTTTGAAAATTTATTATTGACGAAAATAAAATATTTTTCTAATATAAGAAAAATGGGGATAGCACAAGTACAACGCATATATGTACGAACATATGTAACTTTTAAATACCAAAGTCAAAAGCTTAAATTAAAATCAAAAACTGTAGCTCCGGTTGCTATAGCAACTAAATACAAAAAATTATCAAGTTGTTAAAGTTGTTTGAATTTTCAAGGTACATATCTTTACATACATTAGATAAAATGTACAATTTAATCTAAGATTAAATCTAATGAGTATTCCCTTTTCTTTTTTATTTGTATCACAGTTTCGACAGCAAGTGTTTTAAATATTTAAAGACATATACATATATACATTATAAATATAAATAGACAACATGAAATTAAAAAAAAAACAAAACAGGAAGTAGCGTTATTTAGTAATAAACTAAAAAAATAAGTATACAAAATGGGTTTATCAAAAACTATAGGAAATAAGGCTCACATGGTATTACAACCTACTACACATAAAAAAACGTAATTCTAAAAACTAAAATAATATTTCGGTATTTTTTAATTCATAAAAATATAAAATCCCCATCTTGTTATATATTTACATATCTTATCTATGAAATGTGCACATACAGATGTAGTTAGATATATTCTATGCACACAAGTATTATTTGAAAAGAAATGTTACAAAAGTTAAAGCCTTTCCCGTTTTTGTGTTATTTTAGGTGAATACTTATAAAAGCATTATTATATACATTATTGTACAATATGTATGTTTATGTATTTTTACGTTACAAATGCAAACTTGCTTTTGGAAAAACAGTTACAAGTTGCTTTTCACAAATGAAATATTTTAGTTTCGCGTAATATGAATTGAAGCGTTTTGGTTATATGAGTTTTAGTTAGTAATATCATTTTAAGTCTATAATAAATGACAACTGGATTTTTCAATATTCAAGGATAGCTTTAATGTTTTTCTATGTTTTAAAGTGTACTTTCTATGTTTTTCATTTTTCCACAAAGTGTGTAATATTTTACAACTTGGTTATACGAAATTATGCTTATTAATCACAATCTAAAAACCAAAGGTGCAAATGTGTTTTTTTAATTTAGTTATCATTGCATTATTAGGATGTGAAATAAGTAAACTGGCAAGTACTTACTCAATTAATTCACCGAGAGAATGGGATATATGCAGTCACTGGAATGGAAGAAGACATTTCTTAGAATTAGGAGAGAGGGGAGAGTTACACGCTCGTAACGTGTCAGCATCAAATTACATGGTAAGGCAGTGTTCCCACTCAGTAAAAATAAAATGCATCCAATTTCGAGAAAAAAATGTATCCAAAAGGTATCCAACCTCTTAAAATAGAATTATTATAATAAGTCGTCTTATTTAGTATAAATTAACCCATAATTAATATTAATTTGCTTTATTCCCTAATATAAGTTTTGGTACTTTTTACATATGTATTGTTTTATTGAACTATGCTGTAAAGATGATTCATCATGAAAATGGACAAATTTTAAAAAATATGTACAGCCACTGCACTTTCCCTTACAATTAGCTTATACCAAAATATTTCTGGCACGTTCCTGTCTTAAAGTTTTAGATTTGAGTACAGGGATAGGTAGTATTCGTTTAATAAAGTATATTTCTTTCTTTCTTCTAAAAAATTCGGAAACCTGTTTAGAAAAGATAGCAAATAACATTTTTTGAAGATGAAACAACTTCGCCATTTAACATAAGCAGCATTTTAACTGTTTTGTAATATTTATTTAGTGTTTGAAAAATAAATGTATCCATTTCAGCAACATATTCAAATGTAGCCAATTTCGGCATTTTGTCAGATTTGAGTATCTTTGTATTTTTGCTAAATTTAAAGCAAAAATGTATTCAAAGGGACACAATTTTATCCAAGTGGAAATGCGGGTAAGGAAAAAAATTCCGTTAAAAAAACACAGATATATAACGGATTAGTAGTAAATCAGACATAGCTTTTAAGTTATACGAAGCAAGACTTTTGATGATCATTATCATATTTATATACAATAATCGAAAATTATTAGTGGTCAACATAATTTTTCTTTTATTCCAAACAATTAAAGATAAATCAAAAGTCTTAGTTTGAAGGCCAAGAAAAGAAATTGTTAATTTAATAATTTTAAGGATTGCATTTTAAAACTAACAGAGCAAAATGTATTTTGTAGAACAGATATTAAAATTGGAGTTTAATTTTTATACAAACCATACAAACTGTGACTTCCAAAACGAAGCTTTCGTTAAATTTTGGTATATCAATATGACGACAATAAAACATTCAAGCTCACTTCGTTCTAACACCTTATTCGGAGATAATAAGGTCAACTAATTCGGAGATGACTTCACTTGAAAACAAAATATTGTGTGTGTTTCACTATCACGGCTAATTTACACGATGATTATAATTTATTGCCATCTAAATATAAAAAGAATTTCTGGCATAGCCGTGGTGTTCTTTCGAATGATAATTTTATTGCTAAGTGTTGTGATAATTCTTTTTAATTAGAAACAGTATCATCATTTAAATATCTGGTTCTGTTTATTGGTTTGACTTTAAGAAAATTTATCAAATGTCTATGGCATATCATACTTCATTAATCGTGTACTGGTGTAGCACTGCAACATGCTGCTCGTATTATTATGAAGCGTCCTAGGTTGTGTTCTTCCCATAATTTTTTTATTGGTTTAAATATTTCATTTTTGCGGAAATATAATTTTTTTAAGAATTTAAAAACCTTTTTTCTTAGGTATGGCTATTTAGGTGTGAGAACTGCAATTGATAGTCTTCACATAAATAATAGGAATCTAGTATTACACTTTCCTTATTTTACGGCCCTAGATTTTTTTTTAAATTGCCTAATGCCATATGATGTACAAGAGTTCTATGTAGGTTTTTGCGGCAGATTATGATATATTTGTTAGGTTTCACGTACGAGAGCGTTGAAGATTTTTTAAAAGTTTTAAGTTGTCGTTGCTTGGGACAAAAAGGTTGCACTTGAGGCAACAAGAAAAAACCTGGCGTCTGCATTACTGGGACTAACCTACTGCATCTCGTTTTCAAGCTTCTGAAGCCAAAGATTTTAATACATATGGATCATTGAATTCTTTACCCCATCTCTTTACAAAAGCAAGCATTGAATTGGCTTTGTCAATTATGGTATTATAATGAGGCCTGAAAGTCAATTTGTCATCGAAGATAACACCCAAATCCCGAAAAGAATTGACTCTGTTTATTGACTTCTCACTTATACAATAATCATCCAAAATCGGAACAGATTTACATGTATAACTAATTATCGTACATTTACTAACATTAAGGAGAAGGTTATTGTGGCTGCACCAAGCCGAAAAAGAGATGTCATCATGCAATTTTACGGAGTCCTCAGGGCAGCAAATGATTTTGAAGATTTTCATATCATCAGCGTAAATCATAATTTCACTATGATTAATGATGGAAATCACATCATTTATCGCTATAATAAAGAATAAAAGACCTAAGTGACTACCTTGAGGAACCCCAGAATTAGCAACAATCGGATTTGAGATTCAGGATCTGAATGAAACATAGTACTTGCGTTCCAATAAATAGGATTTAATCAAATCCAACAAATTTGAAGCGAAACCAAATTTGCTCAATTTATATAAAATTACACTATGTGGTAATAGGTCAATTGCTTTTGACAAATCTGTGTAGATGACATCTGTTTGGAAACCAGACTCCATGGCATTTAAATAAAAGGAAGTCGCATCCACTAAATTACTTGTAGTACACCGTTTCTTAACGAAACCGTGCTGATTTGGCACTAATCGACGTGAACATTGGTCATAAATGAAATCAAAGATCATTAGTTCAAATAATTTAGGAATGGACGATAACTTGGCATTGGCCGATAATTGGTCACATGATTTTTAAGTCCTTTTTTGTGGAAAGGTCTAATAAAGGACTCCCTCCAAAACTGTGGGAAATGACCACGAGAAAGTGAATGAGTAAATAAAATAGATAGTGTACCTGCTAGATAGAGAAAACAATTTTTAAGTATCACTTAAGGTAAATTATGCCCCAGGAGAACAATCTGCCTCAAGCATTTGCAAATTTTGTTTTACTCGAGAAATTGTGAAATCTATTGATGAAATCGGCAATATTGGAAAGTTATGTAAATGACTAAAATTATTACAATCAACTTCAGAAATATTACTACCATAAGAGCTGGAAAAAAATTCACGAAAGAAGTTTGTAATATCAAATGAATTATTAGACGAGACGACCTTATAATTCATAAAAGATGGATATTGATCTCATTTTCTTTTTGAATTAACGAAATTCCAAAAAGATTTCGGATTATTTTTGATTTGATATCCCATATTAGTAGGGTAATTCTCATATTTTGACTGAAGATTAACCATGTAAATATTAAAGACGTAAGCAAATTTATTATAATTGTATCCATTGTTTTAAATACAAATTCCATGCTCTATTTTTTTTATTCCTCAATTTTCTCTAATCTTTGTCAAACTACGGTGGGGAAGAATTTATACACCGATCACGTATAGTAGGCGTAAATTAATTAAAAGCGTGATTAATTGCTCAAGATCTAAGTTTGAAAAAAGTGAGTTGAAGTCGATCGAACGGAAATAATTATTTAAAGCTATAAAGTTAGTTTTAGAAAAGCTAAGTTTGCAATTTGCTTCCAACAAAATTTCAGTTTTATTTTCATAAAAAGATAGTTATAAAAGATAGTTATCAATTTTCACTAAAGATAAACTACAACCGTGGGAGATTAGATTACACCAGTCAGAAGTAAAAACCAAATCCAATTGCTTATTCTGATAATTTAGTTTATTAGTTTATTAGTTTCATCCATAACAAAATCTTCTACTAATCAAGCAATAGAATTTAGTTTACTGGGAAAAATTCTTTCCAAGTGATCAGCAAATACCTCAGCTCTATTATTTTAGCTGCTTTCCCATAATCCATCAGTTCTTTTTAGTGGGAAATTCGCTTATCGGTTTCTTACTATGTGTTCCACAATGAATAATCCGTTTTTTAGTTTCCAATAAGCTTTCTATATAATTCTCGTATTATACTGATTTAAGATTTTCTGTTTTTCTTTTGATTCTTTTATGTCTTTGTTTGAAACCTGTCCAATATTCTCTTGCCTAAAGTGGACCCGCTTCGTATGTTAGCTATTTTCTCACTAAGGGTTAATATGACAGAGGAGAAATCGGAATTTATATTAAAATCTTTCATCTAATATGCTGTACTCTATTTACTGCTTTTATATATTGTCAAATATAATATACCTCAATCCTATTAGGAACCGAGCATCTCAATAAAAGCCTATTAAAAAAATTAAGAATCTTCCAAGGCGATACTCAGCAATCAACTGTATGATAAGCAATATATGAGTTTTCAAAATATTTGCAATGGGTCAAACCAATGGTTTGTATTATAGCACTTTTAAATAAAGCAAAAATAAATTTAAAGAAGGGTTAACATAATGCTCGATTTTAAGGGTTAATTGTGTGAGGTAAGAAAAATAATTGTGTTTTTTAACGGCATGTAATTTACCGTTAATTTTCAGCGTTTATAAAAATTTGAAAAAGTTTGTGATTTCGGAAATAAATTTTGCCAAATATTCAAATTTTAGAATTTTCGAGAGTTTATCTTGAGCGGGGGTGTAGATGGGAAAAATTTTCTACTAATGAAATAAACTATTTATGAATATCTATGAGTTGCTAAAATCTTTCCTTCAGATTCCTGTAACGTACGGTGTCAAAAATTTTTACAAGAAGAGGGTATCAAAATTTTAATACAAGAACAACGGTATCAAAAATTTGAGAAAAACGAGTGTTAGATAAGGGTAAATTTTAACGGCGATTTTGTTTTTAACGGCCAGAGGAAGCCAGCCACTATTTCTCTGCTTTTACAAAATTTGAAAAATGCTTATGGTTTCACTGCAATAAATTGTTAAAATATACCATTTTTATGGTTTTAGGGGGGAATAACTTTTAGAGGGGAAGAGATAGGAAATTTTTACGGAAATAAGTTTCTAGTCAAGATCAATGTACATATAAAATTTTAACTCTCTGTTTTCAAGGATGTAGAAGTTTTGTAAACAGACACACGGATAGACTAACGGACAGAGTGGAACTAATAAGTTTTTTGAAAATTTTTTTAGAAAAGTGCTAGAAAGGAATATCATTAAGCATATATTTATATGAATGCTCAACATTCATAAT